GGATGACATCCCATCATCTCTTCTTCTGTCGTGATGACGAGGGAAACAGAGTTATGCATTCCACGGAATTTCCCTACACGGTCTAGGAAGAGTAGTGGGAGCGAGTAGAAGGAGGCGAGGATATTCACAAGAGCTGCCTTCGTGTGCGTATCGTTAACCACGACAAAGAGTGGCATCGTGTTCGATGACGTTGGGCATTCTTCGTAGATGGACTTAATGGCATGTGAAGCTCTAAGAGCACGACATTTCATTTCGTCTTTGCATTTGTTATGATGAAGGGAATAGCAAGAGGGAAGCGGAAAGAGGACGGGGAGGAAACCCCTCCTACGTTCTTCTATTTCGAAATGAAGTGTCTTCTCGCGTAAGAAGAAGATCCGACGAGAATATTCATTAATGGCATGGAGCAGCTCTGTTATTCTCCCACTGTTCCTTCTCACTCTTTCAAGATATTTCATATGGATGCCTCTAGGCTTCACATCGAGCACAGACGAATTTACAGGGTGGAACTGGTCAGTAAGCCTGAACGCGATTGTGATGCTCTCTATATGATTCCTCACGTCCACAATGCATCCCCAGTGAGTGGAAAGAGCATCTGCGGTTGGATTTCCCGAAAATCCAAGGTCTATCGGGACGTCGTCGATAAGAACATGCTTTCCATTCCCGATACGTTCTATGAAACTCTTCAAAGCTTCCAGGTTCTGATCTGTCCCACTTTGCCTCCAATCAACGACCCGTATCTTCGTGTTTCCTATGGAGACAAACACGTACCAGGGTTCCTTTCATATGGTATACATTTGTCACGCACACAACATGTTTTGTAACGTCTCACACAGATGAACCTGTATCCATTCAGGCCATGTAATTTAACATACCAATGAAAGATACGCACCCTGATGTGAATAAAAACCAGACATGAAGTTCAAATAAAGAGATTAACTGGAGTTAAAAAGATTTTCCATACCTGACGTTTGCTTCCAATGATGATATTCCAATAGATAAATTATACTCTGAAGGAAGCGATATCAACTCCAAATACGACTCCAGATGTTCTAGTCCATCGAAGTAACATTTTGAAATCCTGACAGTTATGAGGGAAAAAGGGTCTTTCTTTTTCTATTTCTGAACTGACCAAACCCTTAAATTTATGATATAATGCAAACGGACGTCATGGGTATCACATGAGAAATAATTAAATACTAAAGGGATATTCGTTATCAATTCTAAAGCAAGACCCATTTGAAGAACCGCTTTTGAATCTCAAGGAAGTCAGAGTGGTTATTTGTAGTCATGGCAAATACATTTTTTTTTCATTCCATCATAGCTCGTTCGTGGATAATGTGTGTGCCACTATGATAAAAGCGTCCGTATTACACGGGTGTTATAACGAAATTATTGTTTTCTATCGAATCACCCTCGTATTTACTGAGAGGATCACTTCCGCTAAAGACGATCATGCGCATTACAAGGCTAGTGAAATCGGAATCTCGAAGAGGTGGTACAGGATAAATAAATGAACGCAAAGGCCATGGTATCATGCGCTTAGCAATCTCGGTTTCAGAAGAACGAGACATGCTTGCGCGGAAATTGAATTGGTTATATGTGCGACGTCGTCTCACCGTTGAAATCTTGTTGAAACTCCTTAGAAGTTTTGATTTTTCCAGAAGCCATGATCACCAATACTTCACCTCTCTTTGCCAATTCCAATGCCCTTTTCGTGATGAGGAAAGTTTTTCCTGTCCCACTGGCCCCACACATGAAGGTAACCTTCGCTTCGCTCATCACAATTACTCTCTGCAGGGGAGTAAACATAGCATTCAGCTGTTTCATTTGTTCTTCGCTCCTGGTGAACAGTTGGGTTGGATTTCGAGGAATGTCAACGGCAGATGCAGCACATACGTAAAGGTCAAATATGCCCTTGAAGGTCTTAGCTATCGGGGACTCGGGATCATGATCCGAGGGATTTTCCAGCACAATTCCCTGCCGAGATAAGAAGTTGCAGAAATTTTCTAGGTTACTCAGGTCATCCGAGGTGATAATTCTCTCCCTGCACTCTCTGCACTTCGTCACTTTTTGCAAATCCGACCTGGAAAGCATTGGCAAAGCTGCGAAACCTGCCAATTTCACATTCGAATTCATGAATATCCCACACACGGTTCGGAAAACATTAAAATCTTTCTTGATTTGCTTCGTTGCACTTGCAAGCGAATGAGTGATAACCCTGATGTTTGCTTTGGAAGTTGTTGCCTTAACTTGAAAGAAAAGTCCTAATATTTCCTGGCCGGATATGGCGATTCCAAATACATCATGGACACCAGATTCCAGGTCTTCACTGTTGACTCCAAACATCTTGATGAATTTGTTTTTCTGCTGTTGGTTTATACCCTTAAGCAATGTGTCTGTGAATGCATAGTCGGCCACTGTGAGGGAGGGCAGATCCTTGAATGCATCTTTCACTTTGTGGAACACCATGGCAATGGAGAGCTTTTCCAATGGCATGCCGACGTCTTCCTTGCCCTTCAGAGCCTCTTTCTTCAAGTCTTTAAAGTCCTTTCTACTTAAAATATATCCCTCGGGTATGGAATACGCTTTTGTGTTAGCTTCAGGGTAGTGCTGAAGAATGTATTCGAGTTCGGCGTCCTTCAGAGGCTGCTCTTTACCAGCCTCATTGTATACCTTAAGGTAATTCCGTATGTCCAGGTTTCCTCTTCTTTCGTAGCTTTGAAGTCGTCCAAGGTCTGAAAAGTCCTCGCAATTGCTGCATCCCGCTCTTGCCCCCTAATGAATGAAACTCTCTTCAATTCTTAAGATTTCGACTGCAATAAGAATTCAGGCATTTAAAGACTTATC